TCGGAGGTTGCAGTGAGCCGAGATCGCACCACTGCACTCCAGCCTGGCGCCTGGCAACAGAGTGAGACTCTGTCTCAAAAAAAAAAAAAAAAAAAGAAAGAAAACAAGATGGTTAACATATGACATATGATAAAATATTCATAAATTGTTTGAGTGCTAGGGAAAAAAAAAACATCCAAATAGAAACTAAGTAATTCAAATTGGATACCTTTCTTAAGCAGGACATTGGAATAGATTTCAAATCAGGAGCCCAAATGCCAAAAATAACAAAATTGAGATTATCATGAATGTAAAGTTTTAATTGTATAAAGAAGCTTTTTGGCACGTGCTAGGCAAGTCTATAAATTAAAGGACATTCATATTAGAAAATATATGTATCCTCTGATCTTTTTGAATAAAGCTAGTTCCAAGTTATTAAAATGGAATGCTATTATGTAACATTACTAGACCACAAACAAAACTATTAACACAAAGAAGAAAGAAAGATACAAACCTCAAGAATATATTACTTATACAAAGCCTGCTGATATATTAGAGAATAACTTTATTCTAAGAATATTTGTTCTGGTTAAAATAAACATTTTGTATTACTTTATTTTCTTTATTTCATTTTCTTATCTGTCTCTTCTTGTCTTCTCCCTCCCTCCCTCCCTTCCATCCTTCCTCTCTTCTGCCCCTTCTTCCTTCCTTTTCTTCCTTCTGTCCTCTTTTTCCTTTTTTTTTTGAGTCAGAGTTGCTCTGTTGCCCAGGCTGGAGTGCAGTGGCGCGCGATCTTGGCTCACTGCAATCTCCGCTTCCTGTGTTCAAGCGATTCTCCTGCCTCAGCCTCCTGAGTAGCTGGGATTAGAGGCTCATGCCACTATGTCTGGCTAATTTTTGTATTTTTAGTAGATATGGGGTTTCACCATGTTGGTTAGGCTGGTCTCAAACTCATGACCTTGTGATCCACCGGCCTTGGCCTCCCAAAGTTCTGGGATTAAAGGCATGAGCCACTGCGCCTGGCCTCTTTTTTCTTTTTCTATTCTTTTAAAACATAATTTTGAGAAATAAAAGACAAATTTATGACCAGTTATCACAATGATCAACCACCCTGGCAACATCTCACAATTCGCTTTGTACAAGTCCCATACTGTTACCCTGGAAAACTAAGAAAGAAAACTACAATAGTAATGAAAACTTCAATTACTTCATTGCATATACTTTTTATATAATTTCTGGTTTGAATAATATTATAATAAGTAATTTTTAAACAAGTCTGCTTTTTCTTTTGTTAACAAAAACTAAAGATTAAATACAATAAAAATTGGGATAATATAAACAGGTATAACATTGTGTAAAGGTTTTTATTTTGCCTTCTTACATGCAATTTTCTTGGTAGATAAATGAAAGTGAAAATATGTTGGCAACTACATATCATTCTAAACTATATTTGGTCTGAATCTTGTGAAAGTCATGTTGAAAACGTCTCATATCACCATTGAATATATTCAATGATGACTAAACGCACACATTTTACAAAGGTATAGAAGAATTGCCACATTTAAAGGTAGAAAGTTGTTAACTTACTGTATTTAAAAATGTATACTGTTTGAACTTATCCTTAATGTTAATCTTATTTCTGGAGGTTATGAGTCCCAAATGGTATAGAAATGTTGACTCAGAACTGAGTCAACCATAGCCAAAAGGACCTCCTGAAAGATGTCATTAGCCTGAGGGTGAGTAAGGAATCTGTAGTTGGAAAACGGAACTAGAAAATTCAGGTGATATGTCAAAGATTCAGCTCTCATCTAGAGAACTGCATCACACTCTTCCATGTTTCTTGGATGTTTGATAAAAGTCATTTAGATACAGAGGTAGAATATAAAAGTCAAAGTTATCAATCCAAGCTCCTTGCCCCTTGTTGTTTTCAAAGCGGTGCTTTATGCTTTGTTTCTCTCTTTCAAAATAAGTTTCCTAGATATGACATTATTTTTCCAGTTTATAAACAAGAAAATTAAAGCACAATAAAAGATATAAAATCTACCTGAAGAAGTGGAAGTATTAGACTCTGAACCTGAATACACCTGATTCTAGAGACTAATTATTTAATTACAGTATAATTACGGTATAATTACAGCATTACAGTATAATGGTTAAAAGTGCAAGCCTTCAAGCCAAATCAACTAGACTTGAGTAGTGTGAATGTGACCTATAAGCTTTGGGATCTTGGAGGCTGATTTTCTCGCCTATAAAATGTATATAACAATGGTGTCTATTCATAGCATTGTCATGATGAAATGAGTTAATATATGTAAATCAGATTAGTGCTTGGAACTTTAAGAAGCCCTATATAAGCCTTGGCTCTTGGTATCACTCCATTGTTTGCTGTTGGAATTAGTTTGTAAATTTAGATATGTTAAAGTCTCTTCACAATAGGTCTGGACACCTTACTTT